CCTCTGCTCCAGGAAAAAGGTATGAGAATTTACTTGGTAAATAATGACTCTATTAGAATTCTCATTAAATAACAATTGATTAGTACTGAAACCGTATCGAGCGTAGACTCTAGTTGAACTTTTGTACTCAGTGTAGAGACAAAAGAATAAACGATATGTTTATAATCTCCTGATACGTTATCAACGTACATTTCGCATCACAAGTGACGAAACTGATCTGCATCGCAAAATTGTACGAAAGTGAGACGACTATGAAGAAACGATAAATGTTGAGAAACATCTGTGAAGCTGATGTCAAAGATCCTCATGTGGACTCAAGACGATCTAATCGTTGATTCAAATACGAACGTTTAGAATCAAGAAACTCTGTTATCTAAAGTATCCGATATTATTGTTTGACTCATTAGGACACATTATGCGATTACTTGATGTGAATCAAAATCGTTCGTTAAGCGGCAATTCTTTGTAAAACATCGTTGAAGTCCCATACAAGGAAATCGACATTATCCTTAGTATGCATTAACTGACAGAACATCGTTGCTGTTGTCAACTTGTGATGAAGAATTCCTCAAGTGAAGACCAATGATGGTAACCTTATAGAGGTGAAAGCAAAGCTGATTTCTAAACCGACCAAGTTCATCTCGAATATATATATGCAAAAACATCTCAAGTGTGAAATCTATTCGTGCGATACCCAAAAAGAAATATCTGAATTGAAGGAACATACCGAAAATATGTAACCTCTCTGATATGAACTTCCTTATGTTTCACTGTTCAAAATTCTGTCAATCTTGATCCTCGAGAGGAACAATATTCGTAAATCTGTATTGAATATGTTTCCGTTTAAAAAAAACTCAACTATGAAGATTGTCTGACAAGGAATCATCTGATAAAGTGTTTCCTCCTTGGGAGAATGCATGTTCTGATCATACGCGAATAAAGAAGAATCTATGAGACTCTGTATCAACTAGTGTCAGTTGAACAATTCATTATCCTTTACCTCGTATCGATGACTTATTTGATCAACTTAGAGGATCCATTGTGTTGGCTAAGATTGACTTACGGTCAGGATACTGTTAAATCCTTGTTATGGAAGATGGACAAACTGACAATCAAGAATCGCTACCCTTCATTACGTATAGACGATTTGTTTGAAGAACCTGTTTGTTAGAAGCTATAGACAGCTCGACCTTGTTGAATAAACTGATTCCTTTCATGAAGCGATTAATGACTTAATTGCTTATCGTCAAAAATGTCGATGTAACCTGATTGAATAAGTGAAGCAAAGTGATGCTAACTAGACAAATCGATTGATTCGTTTGACGTAAAATACAGAACGAGACGTAAAACAGTAACACCAACAGTGAAAGACTAAAGAATGAAGAAAATGTAGCTGCACTGGCCATACAGCTTAGAATAATATTTATGACTAACTCGTAATGTTCAAGGACGATATTATTTCAACATGAATGCAACTTAGATTACATGAGGAAAGTTAAAGATGCAATTCTAGGTCTAATCTCTCAGGATTTGCAAACTCGTCGTAACCGGCTCCCGGACCCGGGAAAGCTTTAGCAAGCTCTAGTTTGTCTAAAAGCTCATCAACAAAGAATGAAGAAATAAAAAGTTTCCTTTGATTCAAAGCCATGAAGTTCTGCCTCACCGCATCATCTAGAAATTTGAGTAGGTTATTGAAATAACCGTCAATGTTCAAGAGGCCAATGGGTCTATTGTGTAACCCTTCAGAAGCCCACGAGATCAAGGTGAACAAACCTTCCATAGTGTCAACTCCTCCAGGAAGAATGATGAAAGCTTCCACGGCATGATTCATCTCAAAATATTTGTAGTAATTGCTGGAAACTGTGTGCTCTACGCCGTATGTAGGTCCGTAGACCCGTCGTGTTGCTATGTACCCAGGAATGAAACCTCTAACGAGACCTCCATTGGTAAAGACTGTTGAAGCAACAGCTCCTTGTAGGCCAACGTTGCCTCCTCCATAAGCAAGACTAATTCTTCGCCTTATCAATTCTCTTCCTAAATCTACTGCAGTAGCCATAAACTTTGGATTTCTACCAAGAGAATGACT